GGATAAAGAAAGAACGTTAGAAAAGATAGTTTAGAAACTGGAATAGATTTGGGAAGAATGTTTGAGTGGTCATTTGTATTCTTCTGTAAGTTGTTTTTGAGGCATTATTTCTGACATTATTCTATATTATCTATGTCAGTATAATTTGCTAAATAGATTTATTTTTTAAAGCTGATTAAAAGTATGCCTTGCACTGATTGATCATGCATTTAATAAAAGAGAATTAAAGGAATTTATGCCCATTAAGTTCTCAGTTTTTGTCTTAAATAGTTTCTCCTTTCAAGTTATGATCTATATTTTCACCTAGTTCATCTCAGTCATTTGAAGTCAAAATAATATTCACATTATCGCAAACTGATGTTTAAGAAAAGGGAAAACAAAACCGTCATCAAAATCAAATGAAATATAAATGCGAAGGGCATGACGAAAAACACCTGCAGAAGTTCGATTGTCTAATAAGACTTTAGGTGTTTCAATTTATCAACTTTGAAATTTAAATTTTTTATAACAGCAATCAAACTAGTTTTGATCTGTTCATTTCCACGTTCCTTAGTGATAATTTATTATGATTCGATAGTATTTTTATCTTGTCCCTTAGGTAATAATTTGCAACCTTTTATTTGTATAGTTTTCGCCATTTTTGATAAGGATAAAACACTCTGCATATTTTCTAAACAAATTTTTTTCAAAATGTAAAATAAAATGGTAACTTTCAGGTGAACTAAATGAAACTATCCATCATAATCTGAAAGCGAAACACTTTATATTTAAATCGCAATGTCTAAACCTGAATTCAATACCTTATCATCTACTGAAAAATACTGTTATGTTAAAGAGCTTCACCATTTTCTCTAGTATAATTAATTTCTGATAACATTGAATTATTCAAAACAATGAAAGCTCTTTGAATTGCCATTTTGAGTTTAAAAGCGGAATTTCAAATGCCTGTTTAGAATTTTAGAAATAACTCAAACTGCCTTTAAATGAAACTAGACGAATCATTTATCGAACATTTCACTGTCAAATGTTAAACATTGAACCTTAGTCTTTATGCTTACGTCATTCTTGAAAAAGGCGAAAAAAAAATCGACAAAAATAAATTTAATTAAAAAAAAAGAAACATACACTGTGACCAACACATTAATTTTCTTAATTTAAAATTTAATGATCGTAACAGTACGCTAAAATACTGAATCAAAAGTTATGGCGTTTTTCAACAATTGCGCTCATTTTTTTCAATCTCACGTTTTAAATGATTTACATTTTTGTAAACACACATTTTAATTTACATCAATTTTTTAGATACGCATTGGAAGGTACGGCTATTTTTTTCTACGCGCAATTTGAGCTGCGTCTAGTTCATCAAGGAAATGACACAACAAAGTCTGATAAAGATCACATTTTTATTCAGCTAAAATGTGTTTCGAAAATAGTTCAAGAAATGTTTTATTCTTTTAAGCGGAACAAACTTTTTGTTGCATTTTCACAAATAAATCTAAATGTAAAAAATTGATCTCGCCTAATACGCGAGGGATTTTCAAATCTGAAATTAAATTTTCTCCTAAAGCTACAAATTAAGTATTTCAGAATATTTTTGTCGTAATGCGTAAGTTTAAAAAAGCGCTACATATGGAACATAGGGTCGAGTAAAAGGTGTACCAAGCTTATAGAGGAGTCAGGTTTGCACATTATCATGATTAAAATTTCATACGGATCCACATCTGGAAATTTCATTTAGCACGGTCAGGGACACTTTCCTTTTATGATCAGTTTTAAAGCATAATAGAGGAGTGTCTCTAGCGGCGTATGACAACATTTCCAGGCTAAAGTTCCTGTGCCATTTTAATCCTGATGATGTGCTTTAATTCCCGGTAAAGTATGTCGCAATAATTATGCATTTCCTGTTATATATAAAGTTTTTAAACTTTTACAATTAGGCAAAAAACATTTTAAAAAATAAAAATAAAAAAATAATAAAAGATGACATTTAAAAAATCTGTAGCTTGGAGAGAAAAACTGATTGTAGATTTGAAAGCAATGATACGAAAGAATATAAATCTGTTAAAAAAATCTCCTAAATCAAAAAACAGAGAAAAATTGTTCCCTAGTGTAATATTTTCAATATTTTGCGTCGTGTATATAATTTTCTTTAGAATATATAACAAAACCTCCTCAAATTCTATTTTTCCTGTTTGCAATATTTTCCAACATTGCACAGACAAAACTAAATCTTGCAGTACATTTCATATTAATATCAGAAGTCTAAGTCAAAATGTTAAAAATCAGTTAGAACGATGAAGCAGGGGTTGAGGAAAACTTTAAACGCCATAAATTCTGAAAACTTCTACACCCATCTCCGCCTTCCGCATCGGTTATATCCGACTCATCTCATAAAGAAAGTCTTGACAGTCAATAAACGTTCGGACTAAGTCTAACAATAAAAGTTTCGTACTATCATAAAATTCTTCACATATTTCATCTTTCGAAAGGAACTATTATAGTGTTAGAGTTGGACCAGATATGGCAGCAGAATTTTATTTATTACACAGTGTATGCCGGAATAAGCTGGACTGCAAAATGGTAGTCTACACCATTTTGAAGAATTTTTCTTATTAGAAAAATATTTTAAAATGCTGATATTTTTTATCGATTTATATAAAGGACGTTTGAGGAACATGATCTTAAGATTTTTATTAAGATTTAACACAACTATGTAAATGAATATTTAATAATATTAAAATTACCGGTTGCGGTCATGGAGGCTAAGGCTTCACAATTTCATAGCATATGGCATTAGTTATGCAATGTAGTGAGCATTGCGCACCGGCTGCCTTTGCTTCCTAGATAAACAGGTTAGCATCGATTTGAAACTGGATGGTTTTCATCTCATTTTTTATCTATTTATATAAAGGACGTATGAAGAACATGGTCTTAAGATTTTTATAAAGATTTGACACAACTATGTAAATTAATATTTAATAATATTAAAATTACCGGGTGCGGTCATGGAGGCTAAGGCTTCACAATTTCATAACATATGGCATTAGTTATGCAATGTAGTGAGCATTGCGCACCGGCTACCTTTGCTTCCTAGATAAACAGGTTAGCATCGATCTGAAGCTGGATGGTTTTAAGGTATACTGGCTGGCCGATAAGAATTACGCACCCAGTTCGCACCGACCACAGTGCTGACGTAAAATATCTTCAGTGGTAGACGAATAGTGGATTAGAGTCCCCTTGCCGTCAGGCTCTCCGGGGAAGATTTTAGTAGTTTTCCTCTTCATGTAAAGCAAATGCAGGTTAGTTCCATCAAAAAGGCAAATCTCAGGTTCATCACGAAGGCAAATTTCTCTCAATATTTAATTTGGGTGTTCCCTTGTCTTCTGGATTGGGTACAAAATTGCAAGGCCACGTAATCATAAACCCTAAATTGGGTCGACTTTTCAGTGACGGTGAACAAAATAGTATTACTGGATATAATATCCCCGATGACCTGATATATCACACCCATGTGTAGTGAAATGTAGGTATTAATAGAGGGGGAATGAGATTTCATGAAAAAAATAATAAACGCTAAATATATTTGTTTTAATAACCGTCAAACATTTTGAATATTTACTGAAATTTTATTTAGAACTATCTATAAGTTATATAACATGAATTCTCGGGCGTTTTAAATTACTCGAATATTTCTATCTACTAAATTTGGGATCTCATAAAATATCTAACCATGAAGCTGATTTTAGGCTGTTTTTTTTTAAAAAAAAACTATGTGGAAAATAATAATGTCATTAATTTGTTATAGAATTAAGTTTCAAAAATATTTCTTAAAGGAATTCTTTTGAAAAAAAAGTGTTGGTAGGCGATGAAATATTTCTTTGATGTTTCTATTTTCTTTTAGAAAAAATTCTGAAATTATGTGTGTAGGTTTTTTTTGAAGCTTTTGTCACCAAACAAATGTTGTAAACTTGAATCGTAATTTCAACATTTTGAATTGTAGCAGTACTTCATTCAACTTTCTAGATTTCTTTATTTGTGATATAGGCTGGGATTAAAACATTAGTAAATAAATTGTAATGGACAAATTTATTTAAAGCCCGGTTAACCATGAAAACTTTCTGGTGATTCTCATTCATTTGACGTGATTGAGGGTTAGTTTGGCACATAAAATTACATATATGGCACGTTAATATTTATGTTCAAGCCTACAAGTTTAAACATCAGGATCAATATGTTCACGTTGTGAATTGATTACTCAATGCTGTAAATAAATTAAAAGAAAAAGTTGCTAAATTTTTGATAATATAACTCGCTTTCCAGTTGTATTTTTCTTTCCTGAAAGCAAGAAGAACAGGTTTTGCATTTCTAATTAATTTGCTTAGAAGAGAATATATAAAAACCATAGTTGAAAAGTAAAAGCAAAAGATTACGAATTTTAGTCTGTTAATTTTTCATAATGTCTGTTAAATGACTTGTAATCATGAATTATGCATTTTGATGAACCAATTGCGGAAATTTTATTCTAGTATCAACAAAAGACGAATTATTCACTTGTATAATTCTAAAATTGGGCATTGGATTTAATATTGGAAGATTGATTAGTGACGTCATGTGGGAATAAACATGGTATTTGTCGATTCAGAAACCAGTCAGGTTCGTCCCTTATATTTGACATCGCTTACAAGTATCCAATTATATTTTATTTAAACCTCATGGATAGGTAATATCCTTTCACTTCTTCTCGAATGCAAACACCAAATTGCCTCTTGCTTAAAATCTCAGTAATTCATTCATCACAAAACCTCACTTTTTTACGCAATGTAGAGTAATTTTATGTAATCACATGTTTTTTTTCTTCAAATTTTGCACTATTTTAATTTCAGCTGTTTAATTATTAGTTCAAACAATGTAATTATTAATGCTAATATTTAAAATACAATCTCTTGAGCACGTAAAATAATAACAATTTCAACTATTTTAAATATTTCTTTTTTTTTCAGTGTTCTACAATGTAACGTGTGGTTCACAGATAATGACTGTTAATATGAATCTTGCAAATCATCCGTCTTCGATTGTTTATTTGCAAAATCTCAAAGGTTACCCTGGTAAGTACTCTTTTTTTTCATGTATTTTATTTTCATTTACACTTTATTTGTTTTCTTATTCTATTTGTATTATTCTATTTGTTTATTTGTATTCTTTTTATCTAAAATACTAAAAATCTATTTAGAAAAAGTTATAAAAAACTAATGATCGCAGGTTGTTTTAATTACTGCACAATAAGTATGTATTCTAAAAAGTAACATCTAGATGGTAAAACATAATAATAACGTGCAAAAAAATTTGTTTGTATAATAAAATATCAAAATACGAAATTATAAGAAATAAACTTTTTATATATTACTAAGTTCTGTCTGTGCGAAATTTAGTGATAAGGAATAACTGATATTTTAAAAATTAATAAGTTATCTTCAATTTTTAATCGATATTTATAACAGAGAAATCAAGCATGCATTTTCAAAATTGAAACTTTAATATTTTAGCGTCTAAAGCTTAGTTAACTTTGAAAACGAGCTTCTGTTTTTATGAGAAAATGCAACTTAATAAGGAATACGCTGCAACTATATACCAATCATACCCCACAATATACCTTGCTTTGTAAAAGCTCTTAAAAATCAATTATTTTCTTGTTAATTTTCAAAAGTGCGAGGTCGATTAATTGTTTTGAAATGCAACTTAATAACAGCATTTTAAGAAAATACGACTTAATAATAAATGCACAAGAACAATAAATTAAAAAGTGCTTTGCAAAAGCCTTAAAGTTTTAGAAAATTTCCTGTTATTTTTAAAAAATCTCATCTCGAATAATTGCTCAGAAATGCAACTTAATAAATAATAATATCATCTTAATAATCACTGCTTAAGAAAATGCAAATTAATCATTACGGAAGAACAATATGACGAAAATTTGTTTTACAAAAGCATTTAAATGTCAAAAATTTTTGTCTTTTGAATAATTTTCTCAAAAACTTAAAACCTAAATGCAAAAAATAAGAAAAAAACTTTTGGTCTTTAATGAGTTTATTTGCAGAATAATTAAAATATATTTTTCTCGTGCTTGTTTAATTAAATTGTTTAATCATTATTGACTTTTATGAACCTAATGATCATATTTATTTATAGGTTGTGAACCAAAAATCAATCAGAATATAGTTTTATTTCGATTGAATCTGAATGATAGCGGGCTATCTTGTGGAGTCTCGAAGATGCTCAATAAACAAACGGTAAACATTCATAATTTTCTTTTTAAATTTTATAGTGTTTAAATAATAGGTTTGGATTGAACCGCAATGGCTTTAGGGATAAAGCGTTCGCTATTCCAATGAGATGAACCAGATTCTAATCTCATCGATGATTGGGCGATATGAATTCCGCATCCGGCTAGCACCAACCACTATGCTGATGTGAAATATCCTCAGTGATAGACAGATTATGCGTTAGAGTCCCATTGCCGCCAGACTAACCATGGGAGGTTATCATGGTCCTCCATTAAATAGTCCTCCACGAAGGAAACTCTCTCCAAATACTTGATCAAGGAGTTTCCTTGTCTTTTGGATTGGGTTTAAAATTACAAGACTACGTATTTGAACGTTAGAAAAAAATTTGGGTCGGCTGTTCAACGATGGTTATTTATAAAATCATAAAATAAATTGGTTATGATTAATTTCATTAAATAATAAAACTTTTTGTGAATATTGACATAAGCATGCACGTTTACTTGTCATAAATAGCTGAGAAAAATTATAATAATATAGGGTTGTTTTTAAATTTTCAATTAAAACGAGTTAGCTAATGAAAATGGTAGTGTTAACTAAGAAAATGTATTAAAAACTGTTTCAAAAAATGTTTTGTGAATAATTGTTTCCACAAATGCATCAGAACACTGTTTTGTATCTTGATATAAAAAACAAAACGACTGAGCAATATTTTAGTTGGGATAATCCCTCACACAACAAGAAAAAAATAAAAAAAACGTAGATTTTTAGTAGTTTTTTTTTGTTTTTGCTCTTCGCCGCTCCATCAGTAGGCGAGCTCTGAAATTAATTTTGAAATTTGGTATATCAGTTTTTCAAAAAACAATGCAGAAAACCTTGCAATTCCATCTTGCTGTTATTGATTCTTCAAAACCTTAGTTGTACTTTGTCACCAGGTAAAAAGATGATAGAGGTCACTCTAGAAAGTACGTAGATAAATTCGCAAAAATTTTAACATTTCCTTAAGTGGGGAAGTACAGCATTTCTCTGGCCAACGTGTTTTCAAAACTTCATTTCCAGGCAAACGAGGCTGTAAAATCATTTCAGAAAAAAATTTCTTAAGATTTATTATAATTTTTTTATTGCATAAGTCACATTACATAGCTAATTATAAATTCTCTTTATTTCTGCTAGTAATTACCGACAGAGATTTTGCAATGAGAATCTAACAATTTAACAAGTGTCTGGTATAATTGCAATTTATAAAAACAATGAATTCTTGTGATGATTTTTTAACTGCTCTCAAGTTTACTTTTGCCTATTCTATCCCAATCAAAATAAATATTTCTTTAAAGTTTAAAAATAGACGTTAAAGAAAATACCATTTTTTCTTTAAAATTAAAGAAAAAAGAAGACAGCTCATGGAGAAAAGTTACCTGATTTTGGGGTAACCTTGTTCTCCAAATAACTTGTTCTTCTGATATAAGATTTTATATTAAAAGAAAATTTTAAGTAAGTTCAAATGCTATAAAGAAACTCTATAAGAGCTTCCTCAAGTTTAAAATTTAATTCCTTCTTCCAAATGATAACCATACCGTAATCAGCAATTTCATCCGATACGTATCCTTTTCGCTGAGCCATAAGGACCTATCACCATGGTTCCTATTGTAGGTATCTTGGCACCAATAATTATATATTTAGTACCTATGAGAAAAACCTATTAACATAATATTAGTAGTGCCTAAGACAAAAACTTATTAAACACCGTAGGCATCAATAGTTACATGGCGATATTTTGCGGTTCCTCTAAGCGCATAAGCATCTATGTAAACAAAGACCTTTATCTAAGTATAAAACTGCTCACAGAAACTACTAATGTTTCTGTGAGCAGTATCACATAATATTATAAATCACAGAAACTCCTATGCCACCACAATTGTAATTCATAGTCATAAATTACAATTATTGTTACAAATTTTCTAGCACTCTTGTATTTTGTGTACAACGAAAAGTTCAGAAAAAAGATGTTATTTGTAAACATTCGTGGCATATTTTAAAGAGTCGGTGAAGGTTTCAATGTATGTTCAATTTTCAATGTTCAGTTTTCAATGATCAATGCTCTCTTACGCACTGAACTGAAAAGAAGATGATAAATTTTAATAATAGCCCAGACAGCGCATCTTAAAATAGGATCTTTCCAGTGTTTCTGCATTAAATATGTGTTTCCAAATATTAGACTGAAGCAGAAAATTGATTTTCAATACGAAGAATTCCATTCCTCTTATGAAAACTTACGAATAATTTAACACCTATTTGCTAAAGAGGCAATTGCATTTTCACAAACGATAAAACGTAGGGTCCGTTTATCACAGGGTGATTATAGCTGTCGGCATGGTGGAGGGGCAATGGACGGTTTAATAGTGTCAGTGTCCATTCCAAGACGTAAGATTAGTGGCCAAAGATTTCCTCTTCCGGTTCAGCAGTGGGCATCAGTTGGCACGTTATTTAAACTTAATAGCCCGAATGTCAGCCACTATCATTAAAAGTGACTGTCTTGTCGAATCGGTGAGCTGTAAATATTTTTAATGAAACAATTTATCTGTTTATACTTTATATAAATTACTTGATGTTAAAATGGAAAGATAATCATGAGATAACTAATCAATATACAGACAAAATCTAAAAACTCTTTACTTTTTTGAATAAATACTTTAGGTCAAAATTCATAAGGAATGACGTATACAAGTAAAATAATAATTAACTTGACTTACAAAAGCTTAAAAAAATATTTTTCAAACTTGAATCTTTAGAACTTTTTACATAGAAATAGCATTGTCTTTGTTATTAAATTAAATTAGCTCTTTAAATAAGTTCTTTAGTGTTGTAGTGTATCTACCACTACAAAAATATAATTCAAATTCGCTAGTATATATGACATGTTAACTCGATTCTTTGGTGCGGTGCATTTTCATAGATGGAAGTTGACATTGTCGATGTATACCATCCCCACATTGGTGACTTTCGGACGTGATGTGAACATCCTTACCTTGACAGAACCACACACATCAATCTGAACTCGCCTACTTGGACAGATGATCCACATTGAAAAGTTGACATGTGACTGCTACATTATCCATCTCCTCGCGCTGTTGCTTCTCAGTCTCTATCACACGCATCGTCGGCCTGTATACATTCGACTGCTAAAGGCAATCCACGACCGTGAACTTAATACAGCTCTCACGTTCAGTACTCAAAATATACAGTGATCTTAATACAGCTCTCCCGGCTTCTCACAAAACTGGAATAAATCAACTAGTGGTATTCGTTCATTGAATTCCATCACAGATATAATTCTGGAGGAGGTGTGCTGTAGTGCATATACCACTACAAAAATATAATTCCGATTCACTAGTATATATATGACATGCTAACTCGATTCTATGGTGGGTACCTTTTCACAGATGAAGGTTGACATGGTCGATATCTACTCTCCCCACAGTGTAAATGTTAAGGGGTGTGTTTTGTTATCATCGAGAAAAAATCATTTTTCACAGTAGTTTACCATAAGCACGAACATTATTTAAATGCAAATACTTTTGTGAAATAATGCATATATCTTTTACAACCTAATTTTCTCTGTAGTTAAATTTGAAGTAAAAAGAGATTATTACGACATCTTGCTTGCCCGTAAAAGTCATAATCATCATGAGGCTTGAAATAACATTTAATAGGCAGTCAAATAAAAAAATTTTTTTTGAAATATACTCTCTCCAAGGAATTGAAATATTGAAATATAAATATATATATATATNAAAATCGAGTAATCTTGCACACCAGGTGAAAAATTTTGAATTGAGAAAAACAGGCTTAAAAATAAAATTTTGAAAAAGTTCCTTTAAACAAAACAACAAGTCTTTGTTGGCGATTTCAATTAAGAAACTGGTGTGTTACATTTTGTTTCAAGTGAGTGAGTCCTAGTTATTTTGACTGTACTTTAGGAAGTTTCTTGATCATGTTTTTTACAGTTTGTGCCGAATTGTTTTTGATAGAACTCATTACATGTATTTTTTTCTTCAAAAAGTCAAGAATTTGGTTAAAAAACCTCCTTCGTTAAAATTGACTGCAATTTTGATGACAAAGTGAAATGAGAAGTAACTTGCATGTGCCTCTGTATTTTAAAATATTTTAAGCGCACTATACAGTGAGCGAAAGAAAAAGAAGAAACTTTTGGTCAAATGATCGGATCTTTTCGGTCTCGGACTCAATCTTAACGATTCAAGGAAGTGAATTCAAATATGTTAAGTAATTCACGTAACCGATGTTTCAAGTTACGGAATCAGACGCAAAAACATACTTTCTTTGAATAAACAAAAAAAAATTTATTTTTATAATATTTTTTTAAATTTCCTATTTTTTTTTCGAATTTTGATTTCTAACCTTTCAATATATAGGAGATAGCCGCAATCTGGAAATTATGGTCCTCAAAGTTTGTTAAGGACAACAATACAAAGCTTGACCACTTAATGTTAATATTTTTTGTGTGTATTTCTCCATATCTCGAGAACTTTTTAAGCAAAATGAAAATGTTTCGCACGAAATTAGAAAATTCATTTATTCAAAGAGAATCAAAATGAAATTTTAAGTAACTATTTATTATTTTTAATTATTCATTATTTTCAATTATTTTAGTTTAAAATTGTCAAAAGAATTTTGAATTGTAAAGTATACAATTTTTTTGTATCATTTTAAAGAATTTAACAAAATTGGTCAAATAATTCCTGAAAAATCAAGTTTTAAAAATACTGCTTCGTTAAAAATCAATCTCTCATGAGTTATTCGACCAATTTTACATTTTATCGTGTAAAATTACATTCTTTAAAATGGTGTTAAAAATTGCAAACATTACAATTCAAATTTTTTTGACTATTATAAAATTAAGTAATAAAAAATAATAAATATTTATTGAAAGCTATTTTTGCATGTAATTATAATTTGATAAACGAATTTTTTACGCAATATAGGCAACATTT